TGGCTGGGTTCAGTGCAGGGCTGGGAGTTAAACGTGGTGGCCACGCACATCCACGCACCCGGGCGCTCTAGGGCCCCGTCGCTCCATCTCTGAAGAGATGGCAGGGAGTGTTGATTTAACCGTGGGCACGTGTGGTAGCCATGGCGGCCACCACCCTCCTGCAGGTGCGCTTTGCTCTGCAGGTTTTGGTGTTCTGCATCGTTAAGCTTCACAGAACTTCATTAAATCATGCTCCACAAACCCGAAACAAAAACAACACGCAATTTCTCTTATGCTGACTTTTTTTTCGGCTTGTCATAATAAAACATTGTTATTGGATGCAAAAATTATGGAACAGAGTTATGCCCCTCTGGTGTAATATAATGCAATCCATTTAATACTATTTTAAACCCAAAAACCTCATTAAAGCAGACAGAACGTAAGAATGACAAATCACCCAGGAGGAAGCTGGAGCAGGAGATGTATCCCAGGCACTCAGCTGCCTCGAATCCCCCGCACTGAGTTCGGTAACACCACACGGGTGTCAAATAAAACCCCAAACCCCAGCCCAACTCCTGCAGCCACGCTGGGGGGCGCAGGCTGCTCGTCTCCCAGCCGCAAGGAAGGTTAATTCCACGCAAAACACCCGCCAGGACGGGCCGGGGGCGAGAGTGGAAAGCCTGGCTTAGCCCAAAGCCCAGCCTGAAAGCTATGGGACGCGCCTGGGGATAACAGGTTAAGCTTCGCCCGCCGCTGACACCACCGATCCCTCCAAGCGCGGCCAATTGCGCGGTCGTGCCCGCGCAACCAGGTGCGGCTTCCTACCCGCAGTGATGCACGCGGCCCAGCACCTGCAGAAATACCCTCAGCTTACACCAACGTGCACGCTCGTGGCCTCGCCATCCATGTGCCGAAACGAGAGTATTTCTCGATGACACAGCACATGCTCTGGCACCTTTGTACCATTTTGGCCTGGCCTGAAGTTCAGAATGAAACGCAGGGAATGCAGCCCCGCTGCCTTGGGAACTAAGCTAGGCAAAGCTCTGCGGTTGGACTTCTATCAGAACGTGTAATTCCCATTCAATAAAATATAAAAGACGACGTTAAATCAACGCACTTCTTATCCAGCTCTGTGCAGACCCTTAACATCGGAAGCGATCGGTGCTATCAAGCAGCTCTTTCCTCACATGGATGGAGTTGAATAAAGAACGGTGGTGTCAAACAACACCGTATCGTAGAACAAACAGGCTCGTTCCAGAAATATCGCATCAGCTGAAATCATCCCTCTGAATTCCTTTGAATGGCTAAATATCATCGGCAGAGCCACAGCCTCCTTCAAAACGCGCCTTGAAGCAGAGTCCGACTGCGGTCTGAAGGCAACAGAAATTCTACAGCTGTGTACTCTGAGACCAACGCCTAATAAGCATATGGAAAATGATGGCAATTGCTACCAAAAACTGGCTGGTCGTTTGTGAGAATCGAGCCACAGGCGTGCAAAGCTCACACGGTAAAAACAAATGCTCAGCCTCCCCCGAGAGCTTGGTTGCCCTTGCGAAGGACCCGTTACCACCAGCACGCGTTCTACCCCAAGCCGCCCGGCGTGATGACCCTCCGGTGCCTTCCTGCCGCCGTACAGCCTCACCACGGCCAGACGGCAGCGCGGTCAGACGGCGACGCTGTACGCAAATTCTGCTCAAAGGAGTAAAAACCCCACCGGTATATTGGGGGGGGAGTTGGAATTCAGCAAACAGAAATATTTTTCTGAACGTGTGGACAACTTCGCCTTGAATGGATTTTGGGGAGCCGCTGGCTTCCCAGCCCACGCGTGGCCCAAAGCCACCCCCGCCGTGCTCCTACCTCCACTCCTTGGACTTTCAGCTTCATGTGATCCTCTCTGGTGGTTTTCCCATCTTTCCTCTTCTTCCAGCAATAGCCATCTTTCCTGTATTTCACCTTCTTCCTGTTGTACAGGATCATAGAACCATTCTGTGGTCTGAAAACAAGAAACAGGCTTGGGTTACATAAAGAAAAAGCCAGCAGAGCTCACGAAGCAACCACAGACCAGCGGAAGCCTCTGCAGAAAAACAATATTCTGCACCTGACAGAATCTAAATTTTCACCTCTGGTTGCCGTTTACTGGATTAACCCACGTTTTGCAATCTGCAAAATTTTACTTGAGTCTTGTACCTAATGAAGTATGGGAGCAAGTGAGAAGGTTTAAAGCAAAAAAAAAAGGAAATTTGATGATAACATAACATAGCCAGCATTTTCACAGGACATGTTATGATTGGGCTCAGCTACGTGGTGAAAACTAGAAGGAAAGAAAGGTTGAAGAGAAAAAAAAGAATTGTTATTATTTTATTACAGACAATCTCTCTCTCTCTAACGCCTCGGCAGGATTAGATAACATCAGGTAACAACCACCTTCAACACAGCACCAGAACGTGGATGTTGGCATAAAAAGGCAACAAACAAGCCAAAAAGAAGGGCAGAGGGAAGGCGTTAGCGTGTGCAGTGGTTCCACTCTTCCCGCTGCCTAACTTTCTCTCTTTTGAGCACCTCCTTGACTCGAAAGACGCGTGAAAACATTTTCTGCTTAGAAACCACGTTGATGCTGTAGAATGTGGACGAGGGCACATTGATGCCTGCCCAGCAGACAGGAGTCGACACCTTTTCGGTGCATGTATTTCACAGAAGCATTCTGCCGCCTGCTAAGCCGGTGCACGACAGGGGCATTTCTGCTGGAGAACTAAGAACTAAAAACCAGAAGAGACCCCGGCACCCAGCTGCAAAGACAGCCCACGCCCCGGGCCAGCAGCAGTGCTGGAGGTGCTGCATCAGTCATCACAGCAGTCTGGCTTTGGGACGCCGAGAGCAGAAAGAAAACCGATGCCGTTAGCAGCAGCAATCAAGCACTTCCACAGGAAAGCTCTGGCTGGAGCCTGCTGATGAAGTGAAGCACCTGAGCTTGTATGAACAGACCGCATCAACAGAGAAGCCGTTCAAGAGGGAGGATTCCCCAGCCCCACCCAGGCCAGGCTTCCCATCTCCTCCCACCCTGTGACTTTTGGGACCTTAGCAGCCAGGTGTCTGCAGACAAAGCGACACCTGGAATTGCTGAAAAACCCACCTGATACGTTCAAGGCCAGCAGATGCAAGGAAGCTCTTTGCATAAATAAGCCAAATCAAGTGGTTTGTGCTCGTGCAGTATCAGCTTGTGGCTTCAGGGCCATGCCAAAGGTGCAAACCCAGCGCCTGGCCCAGCTGGAAAAGCCTCCTCCTTCCCCCAATCCTGTGTTTCAACACCACAACACCATGGAACAGGCACGAGAGCAGCTTCTGCGGGTACCCTCTTCAATTCTTCTCTAAGGAAATAGCCCGTTTAGAAGACAACCGCCTTCACCCGTGTTTATTACACAGTAACAGGGCAGTAACGCTGATGTAAAAGCTGTTAATTATAGAGTAACTCATCCCAACACTCCATTAATGCATAAAGGCACTTTGCTACCCAGGAAAACGAGCTCAGGATGGTTTCCTACCACCATCGCCCACCTGGAATGACCCAGATCAACCAACACAACGCCCTTCCTCCGTCAAAACACAGACCATCAGCAGCCACGGGGCTGCTGCCAAACCCCAGCCTTGTCCCTTGCCTCCGCACCTACGGGCGCGCCTGGGGCTGCAGGCAGAAGGGTGCCCTGCCTGGCGCACGCTCGGCGCCTGCCCTGCGGAACGCACGAGCGCGTCGCAAATTTAACAAACATGGACGGAAGCTGCACAAAGCCTCTTTCGGCATGAAAACAGACTTTTAACATCCACAAACAGCTGCAAGACCCAAATGATCTATACCTAAGCAATTACTAGCACATTTTTTTTACTAAAACAGAAATGACAGATAATTTTTCCCCCCCCCCATACATGCAAATATTTATTCCCTGTGGCCAGGCTCAGTCCCCCCAAGGCCATGCCCCCCTCCTGCCGCCTGTGCCCAAGGGCTCGGTGAGGCTGCTCCTCCGCTCGGCTCCTGTGCTTCACCCTGGGAATGAACACTCGGGCGTCAGCGCAGCCGCGGCGTCTGACGGCGTCGCAGGCAGCGTGGGATTAATCCAGTGGAGGTCTTACATCTCTTGTTTCGGCGTTCGCTCTGTGAGCCTCCAGCCACCACGCGTCGGCTCGAACCCTTCCCAAAACATCAAAGATTTCCCCTTGTCACCGCCGCAGAGACGCGCCCTATGGCTTACAACAAGCCACCTGCGCGTCGAGGGCGAGTAATGAAAAGACGGCATGGGAACTTCTCCTGCCTATGGCCTCGGCACTGGCACGCGCAGCGTTTCGGAAAACACACACTGGAAGGACGCGAAAGCTTTTTGACGCGCGTAAAACAGCGCTTTCCTCGCGTTCAGCGTCATGAGAGCGAAGGGACCACAGAGCCGAGCTCTGCGACCTCGCTGCCGGGCTGGGATCGGTGTTTGCTGGCTTATTTCTGTGACCAAAAAAGAACACACTGAGAGGTCACCAGAAAACAATTTACGAGACTTATACAAATAAAGCACCATGAAACAAAACCTCTTAAGGATCTCTGCAGCAGCAGTCGATTTTGGTAAGAGCGCATCGAGTTGCCCTAAGGCTCACAGAAAGTAACCGGTCTTTAAAGACGCCCTCACAAAAGGAGAGGCAACTTTAACCTGATACACGTGGCTACGGGAAGATCTCCCGAGCTTGTCCCTGGCACGCAAACGCAGCCACGAGCACCAAACTGCTGGCTGCGGGGAGATTTGGCCGATGAGGTCCGAGGGGGATTCCCAGGGCACAGGACGGGTGTGACTCCAGCCCAGATCTCCCCCGAGGCTTTGCTGCTCAACCCGAATGTGGGGATTTAATTTGTGCCTTTGTGAAAGAAGGGGATGAAACCACACAACCCCGAGCATGGGCTACCCCACGACTGCAATTCCACGGGCTGCCCCGGGACAGCAATTCCCTGCCAGCTCCCGTGGGTGCGTTCTTCAGGAGGCTGCAGCCCAGGCTTCCCCGCGCGTCGCCCGGCACAGAGAACAGTCGTCTTCCTCTGCGTTAAGCCCCACCTGGAACCGCAGCAAGAACAGGGACAGGAGCATTAACGGCAATTTACTTGATCTGACTGGCTACTACTTTGCAGCTACACGGTGCTCTTTTCATTAATGCAGGGCTAAATGGAAAATAATAAAATAGTATTTTAATATTACAGTACAGCTGAGAGCAAGCAGGCCAGAGCAACCTGAACCCACTGAGAAGCCCGTTTGTGCTTGCAGCACGCGGTGTCGGGGCTGCTGGAGGGCTCGGTGGACGCCCCTAGAGCCTGGCCGCCGCGTGTCCCCCCCTTCCCTTCCCGGTGGGGACGGCCACAGCCCAGTTCTGCACCGTGTAAGACAAAAGCCAGACTTGTGGCCGTGAAACGGCGGCACGGTCACGAGGCAGGTCGCCTCTCCTGTACTTGCTCTGCACCAACCACCAGGCTACCCCTGCTTACTCCCTCCAGCCGATTCCCCAGGGCAATGCGGAAAGGTCAGCAGAATTTCCCCCTCCATGCAGAGTAAATTTGTTTGCAACAAGGCAAGAAAGGGTTTGTTGCTCTTACAAAAAGGCAGCAAACAAAAGGAAAGGGACCGGGAACAGGCAAACGGAGCAATCCTAAAACGTGAGACCCCCCAGCAGCAGAGGAGACAAGCGCTTTGCCCGCCTTGCTTGCACACGGTAAATCATTGTATTTAATTTAGGCTGGGAATGCCAACAAGCAAAGCTTCGCGACAGCCACCATTGCTGCTGCTCCATCAGCAGAGATGTGCACCCTGTCCTGCAATCCACAAACAGCCCCCCACCCCCCCCCAAATCCCCATAAGCCCGGGCGTGACAGCGGGGACCTGCCCTCGGGGCCAGCAGCCGGGCGAGTCACTGGTCCATCTCCCCAAAAGCTGCACCGGAGCGAACGCCTGAGCCCCAAAACAGGGGCGGCCGGGCTCATCGCAGAGGTGGTGCAGTTATTTCTGGTCCCACTGTGTGGAGCTTGCAGGATGGTCTTCTTGCTCACGGACCCAAACGGCACACAGCAAAGCTACAACTCTGGATTTCCTCTCTTTTATGAGCCTGTGGCATTTAAAAGCTGCCTGATCTCTATTTAGGTTTCTTGCTTGCAGCCTGGGGGAAGGAGGGAAAGGACAGGAAGAGTAATTGCAGAGCAGAAAGCCTTTTGTCTTAGGTATTGATGAGATTTGAGATGCTTCCCTCCCTCTCCCCGTTATTTACCACCACGGCGCTCTCATAAATTGCCACAACAGCGTAAGAGCTACTTTTGCCCAAGTTGTTCCTGCTGCAATGGGGAAAGGGACGCTCAATTCCACTGCCAGACTTACTCTGGCAGCGATCAGTCGTACCCTGCGGCTGACGGGCCTCAGAACCTGCTGGGTGGCTTGGGGCTCCTGGGGATGCTCACCTCCCACTCAGGACCAGTCCGGGCACTGGACAAACTGGGGTTTCTCTCCATAAGATGGGGAGAGGTGGTCATGGAGTGCTTGTACCAGCAGGAAACACGGGGGATCTCCAGGAAACATTTTCCAGAAATGCCATTTTGGATTTGGCACCAAGTTCAGCCACGCACACCTACCTCTAGCTCCACGCCCTGCTCCAGGAGGTTTCTGTTTCTTTCCTACAAAGTCCCTTACTTAGATAATGAGAGTCTAACCCAACTCATCATGGCAGGGACACGAGCCAGACGCAAGGAGGGAGTGAACAGAAAACAAGTTAAGTTTAAGACATTTTAGTCAACTGATGCTTCGTATCTGCCTCAGAAATTAAAGCCCCTTTGGCCTAAACGACCACGATTTCCCCCAATCATGTTACCACGACGTTAATAAGGCCGGTCCATGCCACCAGTTCCCGCTAAATCGTCACAGCGCGGTTGGTGAACGTCAGGCGCATCACTGAATGAAAACTCTGCTTTGCTCCCAGGGAGCTCGGCTG